GAAAAGCATTTCAGGAAGGAGTTATCAATAGTATTGAAGGTGACATGGGAATCACTAACTACCCAAGCCCATTAAGAGAACTTTGGCTTCATGAGACTTTAAGTAGAATTATAAGGAGAGAGACTTAATACTCAAATCACCATCCCAGGGTAAGAAGGAGACAAAAAACCCTTGTTGTTATTGTGTGTCATTGAGTGGCTTGTGACTCATAGCGACCCTAGGTACAACAGCCCTAAATCCTGCTCTATCCTGTGCCAATCGCACTGCCTCTGACACACCCATCCCGATTACCCCAGTCACTGAATCAATCCACCTCATAGAGGGTCTTCCCCTCCTACACCGTCCCTCCACCCTCCCAAGCATGATGTCCCTCTCTAAAGATCTGTCCCTCCTTAAAACATGTCCAAAGTATGTCAGACGAAGCCCCAGAATCCTTGCCTCCAAGGAGCAGTCTGATTTAACCCTCTCCAGGATGAATCTGTTTGTTTTCTTGGTAGTCCATGGCATATTCTATATTCTTCTCTAGCACCACAGCTCAAAGGTATAAATCTTTTTTCTATCCTCCCTAGTCATTGTTCAACTCTCTGATGCATAACAAGTGGTTGCAAAGACCATGGCCTGTATCAGACACACCTTAGTCTCCAGAGTGACACCATTGCTCGTCAGTACCCTGGAGAGGTCCCTAATAGCAGACTTTCCCATCGCAATATGTTTTTTTATTTCCTGGCTACTGGTGCCAAGAGTGTTGACTGTGGAGACAAGCAAACTAAAGTTGTTAACAATCTCAGTCTCCTCACCATCCATCCAGATGCTGCCAATTGATCCAGTGGTGAGAATCTTTGTCTTCTTGATATTGAGCCTCAATCCGCATTGGAGGCTGCAGTCCTTGACCCTCAGCAGCAAATGCATCATGTCCTCCTCAGTTTCAGCAAGCAGAGTTGTGTCATCTGCATAACGCAGATTGTTACTAGATCTTCCACCAATCCTGATGCCACACTTCTTCTCCTCATAGAGCCCAGCCTCTCAGATAATCTGTTCTGCATACAGGTTGAAAAGGTATGGAGATAGTATGCATCCCTGGCGTACACCTTTCCCAATTTTGAAACATGCAGTGTTTCCCAGCTCTGTTCTGACGACTGCCTCTTGGTCCAAGTATAGGTTTCGCATTAGCACGATCAAGTGTTCTGGTATTTCCATTCTTCTCCGAGTCAGCCACAGTTTGTTATGATCCACACAGTCAAACGCCTTTGCATAACATCAGCTACAATATCCCTAGTACCACGACCCCTTCTAAACCCAGCCTGGACTTCTGGCAGTTCTCTGCTGATGTGCTGTTCCAGTCGTTTTTGGATAATCTTCAGTAGAATCTTCCTTGCATGTAAAATCAATGATAGATTGTTCTATAGTTTCCACATTCTGTTGGGTCACCCTTCTTTGGAATTGGAACAAATATAGATCTCTGCCAGTCAGTTGGCCAAGTGGCTCTTTTTCAGATTTCTTGGCACAACCCTTAGGGAAAGAAAATAGAGCATTGTAGAGTTTTTCAAACACAGGTTCTTGAATCACGGTGCCAAGACTATGGTGAACATCTCATTAAAAACAATGATGGACCTTGTCATACATTCCCTGAACATAACTCTATTGGCTAAAACTAGAGGCAGGGAACAAACTAAAGCAACTTCTCCATTGTCCCCTTTCATGCCAATCAGAACGTGAAGAAGAGATGGATAAATAAAAACTCCAAGACTATCCAACAATGAATTCTGAGATACTTTATTTCCTTGTAAATATCAATATTATTATTAGCTATTTTATTAATAACAACATTAATACTCTAAGAGCCAAAAAAGCACAAAGCACAAAACTGATTTACAATTAGGGCACCCACCCTATACACTTAAAAATAAATCAAGATTTGGACTAATTTTTGATATTCATTAGTTCTTTAAATAAAAGTTTATGACACTACAATTAGCAACTTCTCTTGAAGTAATCACCAAGAAGAAGGGAAGATGTCAACACGCTGGCGCTGGCAGAGGTTGTAGGGGAGGGGAAGAAACTCAACACACCACATATTTTAAAAAGAAACATTTTACATGATGCATGGAAACCAGTACACAGACACTGGACATGTGCATTCCCAGCTAGCACTATGAGCTTCGGATCCCAAAATGTCAGCCACTTAAAGATACTTTGGTCCATCTCTCTCATGACAGAGGAAACTGGGGTCAAAAATGGAAACATACATCGTCCAGGTTAATTAACTCATTCAACCAAATTAGAATTGTGATCTCCTGGTCTCTTAATCAGTTATCTTTCTATATTGCTACTCCATTTCTAAAGAAGAGTTAACTATGATTAATAATTAGTTATTATGGTTGACAGGAAATCTGACCCAGAACACATCTTCTTTGATAGACTGGAAGGTGAAGGAGTGGGACTGCATCACGGAACTATCCTTGTGAAGCTGAAGGAGGCCAGTGTAAAAAGAGAGACCAGGTATGCCCAAGGAGGTAAGGTTGCCTGTGTGGCTAGACTGTAACCCCAGAGACAAGTTTAGCCCACAGAATAGTTATGCTTAGACCTGACATGGGCACATCTATGAGAAAGGTGAGAGAAATCACACGCTTTAAAAATGTAAACATACATTTTCTTAAATATTACCTATAGTCATTTGAACTTATTAAAATACTACTCATTGAGTAACTTCAACTCTACAGAATATAGTCAATAATCAATAACAAAGCAGTAAACAACTAGTAACACATACACACACACTTTTCTCTGAGTAGCCAAGAGAGGTATTCCAAAGTTCACACTTAAATTAGCTTACTTAAAGCATCTATCTCAATGTCAAAGCACAGGCCCTCCACAAATGTTTAGCTGTTGTTATTTATAGTGCAGTGTCTCATAAATAGGTTCTCAATGGTTGGCTGGTTGTACATTACACACTGTATTTTTATTTAGCTTTTCTCAATAATAGACAAAAATAAAGGGATGGATATAGTCAGGATGGACACTCAAGAGAAAACAGAAAAACTGTCTAAAGCAGATAAAAAAAATTCTACTGTATTTGGAGACACTTAGAGGCAAGTGGCCTGCATGTTTCTGTAGATCTAGAGACATCACTATATTGAAGCATAGTACAATAACCATGATGACACAGTATCATGTAGAAAAAACCAATCATGTATCATATACTCTATTTAAAATGATAGGGAAGCATCTGATACAATTTTTAAAATTTATCTTTTTTAATTAATATGTTCAAATTTGTAAATGTGCTGGCACATACAGAACTTGTAAATCATCTGGAAATTTGATTTCTGAAGAAATAACATCACCCATAATATCATAAGTATGGTTTATTTTTGTTGCCATCAAATCATCCATGGTTCGTGGCAACTGTGTGCAGAGGAGAGCTACCCCACAGGATTCTCCTTTTCTGGAAGCAGATTGCCAAGCCCATCTTCATGGCACTTCTGAGTGAGTCTGAACTGCCAACTTTACAGCTAAGCAGTCAAGCACTATCAAGGACTCTAAAAAACACTACAACTATGTGTCAAGTGAAGAGGACCTATTTAAAAATTTAAGGAAATCCCTGTGGCCTTAGTATTGACTGTTTGCAACCAGTTGCTAACAAGATGCTTCTCACTCATGGCAACCCGATATGTGCCCGAGTAGAATTGTGTTCCACAGGGTTTTCAATGGCTCCTTTCAATGGCTGCTTTTTACTGAAAGCAGATCATAAAAACTTTCTTCCTAGACGTTTCTGAGTAGATTTGAATCATCAACCTTTTGGTTAAGCAGAGCCAAAAGCACATTAACTTTTTCTACCACCCAGGTACTCCTACTGACTAATTATGTGCCCTCTCAGTTACTTGAAAGATCAGATGTGGTATTCTAGTATCTTTAGAGAGACTGACTGTTTCTAAGGTACAATAGCTTCTTAGTGCCTTTTGACAGAAAGTGCACTTGATAATAGAATCATCAATGTTTAAATTGCCTTGAAAATTCCATGGAGCAGTTCTCCTCTTCATATTTGGGGTCATCAGGAGTCAGAATCAACTGACCACAACTAAGATCAATAGCATTGTGGTTTGTAAGACGTGGTGCTGAACGTGTCATCCCCGCATTAAGAGGACAATGAGTATATACTAGCTCTAGTGGGGAATGAACTTTCCTTCCCAGACTACTTGCTTAATTTCCTCTCATCTTTTACCTTGAGAATTCTACTGTCACTAACATTCTGTGCAACAAAGTTAACCTCACAATAAATTCTCTCTTGCTATTTAGAAAAAAATCTCTCTTGATTTTCTTCTACATCATTAATGAGGCTTTATAAGGTTTCCTATCCCCTGGTCGTTCTTTGACAGAAAAAGTTTTCGCTAAAAAGGCTTAGAGTTTGGGATAGCAGAACAGTACAGGAAAAATAAAACAAGACAGAGCACACAGTATTCCTTAGGAGGTTATCCTCAACTCTTACCAGGTGATTTTTTTCTTTTTATTTCTGCCCAATAGAGATGTATGTAAACAACACACAAACAGCTGTGGCTCCCACAGGTTGGTCCGTTCCACCTTTGGAAGAGTCATAAATCTCCTTTTTCATTCTTCGTGATTTTGACAAGGTTGATATGGATCTTCCAGTAAATGGCAATAAAAGTCTTTTCCAATGACGTGGCTTTATTACAGGGAGTTGTCGACCAATGAAAAATTATGTGCCTTGAGGAAGAAGTCCCTCTTTTCTCATTCCCACAAAGGTATCTAATGGATTCAGGCAGTCATGAGGAGAAGGGCTAGGTAATTTACAGGATATGAAGATAAATAACGTTAATTAGAACGCAAAAGAAGTTATTTTAAATATCCCTGAGGAGAGGGGTCATTTGCCTCTGGTCACATCCCACGTGGCCTCAGGAGCGCTGAGTTGGGGCATCTCCTCCATTCACAAGGAAAAGCAGTCTTACACCCAGGCCCACGCTGGCTTCATGCTGGTGCTAATCTTAGGAGTTTCCATCAGACTCCCTAGGGCCATCTTTAGGGAAACAGTATGCACCAGGAGGATTCTGGTGGATGAGAATCAGTTCCCCCTCATTCACCGTGATGTTATTACTGGAGGGATCACCAGAGGTATGAGAGGTCACATTCAAGTAGATCTTATCCTTGTAAGCCAGATAGGCCACTGTGACAGCATCCATAGACCTGACCTTAGTCAGGGGGAGAAGGGGCTTCCAGTCCTTCCGGTATAGAAGGTTGACGTCGACGTCCAGAAAGAAGGTGCCCTTCAGGGAGATGAGATAATACCCATCACAGTTGATGACAATGGAGTTGTTCTGCACCGTCATGGTTTCTGGGACATTTTGGACTATTTCTAAGAAACATTTCCCGTTCTCACACCCTGGAAAGAGGAGAGTTCAAAGAAAAAAGAAAAAAAAAAAAGAATGAGTTCTAAGCACAGCACTGAGCAAACAAGTTTCTTGACTAGCTCAGTCAAGTCATCGTCATGAAATTGTAACTGACTCATGTCTGAATGTCAACTTCACCAGGTATTTGAAACTGTAAATTACACAGGAGGAGACTGTGTATCTTTCTCCCTTGGAGTCACTCATTGATTTGACCTGCCAAAGAGATACCACCATCACTGTATCAGTTCAAGTCCCTCTGCCTCTCTACTCTGCCATGGAAAATCTCATTCTGCACTACCAGAGTTCTTCATATGACTAGTTAGGTGAGAAGAACATAATAAGGAGAGAAACTGAGAAAATGAAAGCAAAAGAATATTGCTATCTCAATATGTGGTCGAAACCGGCTTTAATCTGTGGAATGGAAGAGAAGTAAAGGCTTCTTCTTGTGGCCAAGAGCCCCAAGTGGGGCTTAGAATTGGGATCTAAGTGATTACAGCAATTGTCACAACAGGCAGGAAATGGAGTGATGAGGCATCTCTAATTTGCAGAGCTGGAAGGTCTTAGCAACAAATGTAACAGGAGTTTCCCCTACCCTCAGTCTGCACACTACATTTAATTAGAAGGCTGTATCAAATCAGCTGTTCTTCCCTGTTCTCTTACCTCCCTCCACTTGAAACTGGAATGAAGTCCTTCACAAGTCCTGGCATTGAACTTACAAACAGCATTTACTAGTGGCTTTGGCTCAAAGTCACTCAAGCCTATTATTATTGCAGCTGTGAAATCAGGGTGGAGTCACTAAAATGCAGATAAAGGGGCTGAAGGAAAGCTACTTGCTTCTCATTTCTGCCTCTGATTACAAGAGGGTACTCGTTCTTGCTTATATGTGTATGTGTGTAATGTGAGCATATGGGGGCATGAGTGTGCTCCTTAGATAGCTTCAAAAAAGCCACCAGACAGAAGAAGGGAAAAAATGGAGGTGAACAAGGCAGAGTAATGACTAATAAATCTGTATGGGGTTAAGTCAATCTAAGTGTAAACAAACAATCCTAAATTTCTTATATTTATGAACACCATCACTATCATAAATGCCCAAGCAACTACATCTTGGACTTTTAGTCCATTCCCCTTAGTGATGGGGTGGGGGGACACAGCTCCCTACTGATGACTGAGGAGCTCTGGCGGCTCAGTGGGAAAGAACTGCACCACAAAAGCCAAGGTATGCTCTTTAATCCACCAACTGCTCTGTGGGAGAAAGATGGGCAATATCTTCCTGTGCAATTAACTGCCTCTGAAAAGCTGCTGGAGGGTCAGCTGTATGCCAGTTCCAACTCACTCAGAAATACAGAGCAACAACTAAGAAGTCAGTAGTCTTGGCTTTGTGCCAAGGCCATGAGTCCACTCTGAATGGAAAGTAAGAATTAGAGAAGGACTAGTTTATTTTAGACTCAAGATAGCTTACTAAACACGAATACTCATATAGAAATCACCAATAATTGGCAGAGTATGATCTATGCAGTGTTCTCTCGGGAAGTATCTTGCCTTCATATCTGGTGCCTCACCTCAACACACATTAAGGTATAATTTGTCTCAAACTGAATTACCAGAAAATGATGTGTTTTACAGTCAGACAGACTTGTAGTCAAATTTTCATTTTCTTACCTGAATAATGAAAATTATCACTATGTCAAAAGGAAAAACAAAGTATTTTAATTTTTTTTTAACTTTGTATGTAAACCAGAATAAAATAATGGTTTTTTTTTAAAAAAAAAAAAAGAGAGAGAGAGAAGCTAGAAGGGGGGGGGGGGGAGTTCCCAGGAAAATTATTTAGGTAATATGGTAAAAAAAAAATCAGGTAATATGGCAGCACATAATTGATGTCTAGTCATCACTTTTTAGTCTTTATCCAAATTTCTGTCTCTAATGAAAATGATAGGTGGGCTCTGAAATTCCAGTACCTTCGGAAACTCTATGAACTTTGATAAATGTCGAGAGTTGTAGAGGGGCTTCAGGCCTTTTGTTAATAGAGTCCCTATGAGTTGTGCTGGACTAGAAGGCAATCAACAACAACAACAATTATTTCTTAAGGAGAAGTGAGTAGATATGTGCTGGAGAAGAAAGCAAGAGGCTAAAGAGAAGATTGCTATTAAAATATAAATTAAATTTTGACAATACTTACTGGTAAACTGTACTCTGATACTTTCAAATGGAGGATATGTATGTTGTGCCTAAGGGAGGGGGAAAAAGCATATTTAGAAAAGCTGAGCAAATGGTAAATCATAACTGATGAAACAGAAATCTGTGGCCCATTGAGAGAAACTCCAGAAAGGTTTGTAGTGACTAAGAATCTGACAAAAGACAATATTTTCTATGAAATATGTTGTTGTTACTATTGTTTTGCAGCATAGAGTTAGAATTGACTCATCGCTGACCCTCCAGCAGGTTTTCGGAGCCAGTTAATCACATGGGAGGAGACTGTCCATCCATTTACTGTGAAGTAGCTGGTGGATTCAAGCCATATGCTTTTGGATTGGCAGTGCAACTCCTTATCATTAAGCCACCAGATCCACTCATCTCTCTCTTCTATAATATCTCTTAAGAGTTAAGGCTATTCTGACCCTTTATCAAGCTGACTCAATGGTTCTTAACAACAGTAATAAAAGTAAAACCATTTCTTTGTAGGTCCGGTTTACATGTATCAATATATTTATGAGACTAAAATTCTAAATTTACTTTTTTAACCTTTAATCTATAAAGCTTGCCTCTGGAAAACCTATGAACTTGGAGAAATGATGGAAGTTATACAAGTGTTCAGGTCTTTCATTCATAGGATCACTATGAGTCATCTACAACTCAACCACACATAACAACAACAACAACATTAGAGAGCTCAGTGGGCCTAGTGGACAGAAAGTGATGTTACCAAGTGAAAGGTGGGTGATTTTAATCTGCAGCCTTCAGGCCTGGTTTTAATTGTTTCTGGTCAAACATTCTTCTAAGTGGTATAGCACTGGTCTGCCCATTTGCTGTACAGAGGTAACTTGTGGTTGCTGTGATGCTGAACACTGTGACACTGATGTGTCAATGTGATAATGGTTACTCCTGGTGGACAGTGTTTGGTGGAGTTCCCTGATGTAAACAAGCTTGAAAGCAGGAGTGGCATCCACTTTCGACACAGCTTGCCTCTGGAAACCCTATGAACTTGGAGAAAGTTATACAAGTGTTCAGGTCTTTTATTTATAGGGTCGCTATGAGTCGTCTACGATTTGAGGGAACTTAACAACAACAACCACCACCTTTTCACGAGCTCTCGTAGGGCTCTCATTTTTAACCAATTGCAACGAAGTTTCAAATTGTGTTGTTCTGTTTTCATGAACTGTCGGCACACTGCTGTTTTGGTTGCTACCAGCATTCTTGCAATTAATGATTTTGTCAAAGATGCTGTTGTTGTAGCTCTAATGTTGAAGTAAGTATGATTTGTGAACTAATACTTAAAAGACCTCAAACTCACTGCCATAAGTAAGAATGGACTCACAGCTGATGCCCCCAGTGGGTTTTCTGAGGTGATAAATCACGTGAGAGGAGACTGCCCAATTTTCTCCTTCAGAGCAGCTGGTGGGTTCGAACTGCCTAGCCTTTCGGTTGGCAGTGCAACTCCTTCCTCAGTAGGGCACCAGAGCTCCCTTCTAAACCCACAATAATGATTTATTTTTTTTAGAATGAAGTAATAAGTAAGTGAAAAGAAGAGTTAGTCTTCTCATTTATTGAAAAAATAGTGCTGACTTGTTGTTGTTAGGTGCTGTCAAGTCGAGCGTGTTTCATAGTGACTATGAAAAGAAGATCTGAACCATGCTCTATCCTACACCTTCCTCACATTTCCTGACATACAAGAGCCCATTGCAGCAGTCACCATATCAATGAACCTGGTTGAGGTTCTTCCTCTCCTCCACCAACCCTCCACCCTTCCCAACATCATGTCCTTCTCCAACATGTCCAAAGTATGTGAGGCAAAGCCTCATCATTCCTGCCTCCAAAGAGCACTCCGGCTGCACCCTCTCCAAGACATATTTGTTCATTGTTCTGGCTGTCCATGGGATGTTCTGTGTACTTCTCCAACACCACAGCTGAAAGATGTCAATTATTTTCCTATTCGTCTTATTCACTGTCCTGCTCTCAGATACATACCTAATAATTAGAATGACTATGGCCTGAATCAGATACACTTTAGTCTTTAAATTGACATCACTACTCCTCAAAAATCTGGAAAGGTCCCTAACTGCAGATTTCCCCAATGCAATGTGTCTCCTTATTTCCTGACTGCTTGTACCAAGAGTGTTAACTGTGGATCCAAGAAAGATGAAGCCGTTGATAGTATCTATCTCTCTCCATCCATCATGACACTGCCTATAGGTCCAATATTAAGAATTTTCATTTTCCTTACATTGGAAAAACAATCCATACCGAAGGCTGCATTCCTTGATCTTCTGCAACAAGTGCTTTAAGCCCTCCTCACTTTCATCAAGCAAGGTTATGTCATCTGCATAACACAGGTTATTGGTGAGTCTTCCTCCAATCCTGATATTACACTTCTCCTCATAGAGTCCAGCTTTTCAGATAATTTGCTGAGCATACAGATTGAATAAGCATGGAGAAAGAATACAATCCTCATATGCTCCTTTCCTACTTCCAAATCATGCAGTGCTCCCCTGCTCTGTTCGTGCAACCTCCTGATCCAGGTATAGGGTCCACCTTCGGACAATCAAGTGCTCTGGGATTCCCATTCTTCTATATATCAGCCACAACTTATCATGATCCACACAGTCAAATGTCTTTGCATAGTCAATAAGGCACAAATAGACAGTCTTCTGGTATTCCTTGCTTTTAGCCAGGATCTATCTGACATCAACAATGATATCCCTGGTGTCATAGCCTCTTCTAAATTTTGCTGGAACTTCTGGCAATTCCCATCTTTGTTCCATCCATTTTTTAATGATCCTCAGCAGTATTTTGCTTGCATGTGATATCAATGATATTGTTTGATAGTTTCCACATTCAATTGGATTACCTTTCCTGGGACTAAGATAGTTATAATTCAATGTAGGAAAATTTTACAAAACAATTGTATTGATACTATTCATATAATCTAAAAGACATTACATTTAAGCAATTTGCAATCATATTTATCACATCCTATTCTTTTCTTAATATTGATAATAAACATTATTAAGTATAATATGTGGTCTGGAACAGGGGAAGGTACATTGAAAAGGGGTTTCATGATGAGTTACCCCACTGGATGACAATAGTAATAATAATGTCACTATCCCAATTTTCCACATCATTCAAGCATAGAAACAAGGCAGGGACAATTAAATCTTCCATGACCACAGAGCCTCTGAATGCCTGGGGAGTGAAATCAGTAATACTTTGATTACTTGTTCATTTACTATAATGCACAAGTAAAGATAACCTGTATTTTCAAGCAACACAGGCAATGAAAATTGAATGAAATCCTGATGAATACACTATATGTTGTGGTGGTGTTGCTGTCAATAGGTGTCGTCGAGTACAACTCATAGTGACCATATGAAAAACAGGTGTGAACCCTGTCCTATCCTGTGCCATCCTCATCATATCCAATATACTTGAGCCCACTGTTGCAGTCATTGTATCAATCCATCCCATTTGGGGTCTTTCTCTCTTTTATTGTCCCTCCACCCTTCCAAGCACGATGTCCTTTTCCAAAGAAGAGCCTCACTTAGCAATACGCTCAAGGTATTGCCATCTTTGCCTTCAAGGAGCACTCTGGCTATACTTTCTCCAATACATACTTGTTTGTCCTTATGGGAGTCCATGGGATATTCAGTATTCTTCTCCAATACCACAACTCAAGGCCACCAATTCTTCTGTCATCCTCATTTGTTTGTTGCCCAGCTCTTGGGTGCATAGCAAGTAATGGAAAAGACCATGGCCTGAATCATTGCACTCAGTGTTCAAACTGACATCATTGATCTTTAGTATTTTGGAGAGTTCCTGACAGTGGACTTGCCCAAAGCAGCACTTCTCCTGACTGCTGGTACCAAGGGTGATGATTGTGGATCTAAGCAAAACGAAATCATGAAGAGTTTTAATCCTTTCTCCATCTTTCATGTGGCCCAGTAGTAAGAATGTCTGTTTTCTTTTTTTAAAAAAATGTATTTTATTTTATTCTTATTTATTTACAAAGTTTGAATGCATTCATTTGCACAAAAGATCCTTCCCATTTCCTTCACCTAACCCACCGATCAAATCCTGTAACCCTATGATTAACACCCTAGGATCAATCCATATTTAAGTAGTTCTCTTCTCTTTAGGCCTTTACAATATTGCCTCCCACTGCTGAGTGCAATAAGACTCATGACTGTAAATCTTTACAGGAAAGGTCTGCCTGTCTTTCTCTTGCAGAACTGCTGATAGACTAGTACTGCCAAACTTTGGGTTAGTAGGGCAACACAAAGTTAATTATGTGACCAAGCCTCTCCCATTGTTTTAGAAAGAAAACAATTTAAAAAATGCTTGTAATAATGTGTTAGTTAAAATCATGGTGTTTTCTATGGAACAGACTCCAAAATTTACCAAGTGAAAAAAATTAATTAGCAAAAATCATATACAAAGTATAATTCCATTTGTGTTTTTTTTAAAATGGTCATAATGTTTGTAAAAGTACTGAATGTATCTGAAAGAATACTTGAGGGAATACAGGGGAGTTTTCCTCTGGAGATAGAAATTAGAACCCCAAGGGAGAGCCTCTTAATTTACCCAATCTGCATAGGGTCGCTATGAGTCGGAAACGACTCGATGGCACATAACAACAACAACAACCTTTTTATATTAAAAAAAATTGTATCATAGGTTTATATTGCTGTTGTGTCGTTATTAAGTGCTGTAGAGTCGTAGATGACTCATAGTGACCCTAAGAATGAAAGACTTGAACACTCGTATAACTTTCATAATTTCTCCAAGTTCATAGGGTTTCCTGAGGAAAGCTATTTCAGAAGTGGATGCCACTTCTGCTTCCAAGCTTGTTTTAATCAGGGATCTCCACCAAACACTGTCCACCACGGGCAACCATTATCGCATTTGACACATAATTTATATTACTCACTAAAAAAAACCCCAAAAAACAAAAAAACAAAAACCCAACAAGAAAAAAAGGCAGGGGATGGCAGTACAAAAAGAATGCCTATTG